CAAAATCTGTGATGAGGACATCTGTCCCTGGAAGGTCATCAGCAGAAAATGCCTTTCTATCCCATGGCGGTCAGGTCAGCAAAGTGCCTGGTAGGTCAGCAGCAGGCCCATGGGTTGGATTTGGACTGTGAGGTCCCTTCTGCCTTAGTACATCATAGAATGGCAGCTGGCACCTAGCTGGATCATGTCCATTCAGGCAGTTGACATGCCAGCAGCAGGCACCTGGGCTTGGAAGCTGATGATGAGGGTACTGCATTCGGACAGGCTCAAAATCTCCAAGGCCAGTTGGAGGCACATGACTGTGAAGGTGACTGCGAGGTCACTCCTGTCTCTGCCAGTGATGGGCAAGGAGCAGGCAAAATTATGAGACCTCGCAGTCAGCACTGCAGCTGTGTCCACTTTGCCTGTCTCTCCCAATCTTCTCACCTGTATTTGTTCTTGGCTGGGATGAGTGGTGATGTGAGGTGCTTCTTGTCCTCAGAATGGCTGCTTCCCAAGGCCAGCCTGTGTGGTTCCTGTAAAAGATGTGACCTCACTGTCAACATCACAGCTGGGTCACCTTGGCCTTCCTCTTCCGCTCCCCTCTTCTGCGTCCTCCTCCTGGGGAAGGCAGGCTGGGACAGCAAGGATGTGGAGGTGTGCTCTGTGCAAAGGGGTGGCCAGAGTGCACAGAGCTTTGCCCTAGAGATGGTGATGAGCCAGTCCAAAGCATTGCACAAATGGACCGTAAAGCAGGTGGAAAATGGGCTGGCCCATTGGGCCAAAATGCTGTGATCAGAGGCACAAGGTCCAACTGGTGGCTGATTATGTGCAGCATTCCCCCAGTGATCAACACGTAGGGCAGCACTGTTTAACGTCTTTGTTAACGTCCTGGACCATGGGATGGAGCACACTCTACGCATGTTTGTGGACTAGGTGCAACTGGGGCAAGCCCCTGAGCAAGCTCGTCTAGTTCCCTCGGAGTGAGTGGTCGTCCACCCTAAGTGCTGTGATTCAGTGCATCTTTCCCTCAAGAGCTCTGGAAAGACAGAATAGTGAGAGGAAGCAGAAAGGACAGGGAGGCAGAAGAAGGCAGAGGAAATAGGTCCTTCTAAATAAAGTAGTTGCTCAGAACAAAGCTTCT